CCCTCCCCTCCCGCGCTAGCCTAAGGGCCACCTTAGCAAAGCGCATCCCAGGCTGCATAGCCGCACTACCCTACCCAACCATACCACACATAAACATGACACTACCCCCGGGGTTTACACAGACGAGCCGGCGAAGCAAGAAGAGCGCCAGAAGAAAGGGCCCTAGCCGGCGGGGCCCAGCCAGGACAAAAGGAGGTCCCACAAAGCGCCTACACCGGCCGCATTTGCGGTCGGGGTAGACGACGGATGGGGCCCACCTACGAAGGCTATCCAGGCCTACACGAGATGAGGCAGGATAAAGAGGGATAATCCCCCTCGATCACAAATCATTGAGGCCAATTTCTAAAATTAATTGAACAATGTTGAATAAAAAAAATAAAATAAACAGTGTACCTGAACATAAACATTCCTTACCTTTTTAAAAATATATTATATAAGTCTATTATAAATGCACGCTTTCAATCATTCAATGTGATAACTTAAATTTCTAGTCACACTGAGATAGCATGTTTTTACTTAAAGATCTGAGTTAGCATGTTTTCCAACCGAAATCTGAGATAGCATGTTTTCGTACTAAAGCATCGATATACTACTGGAGGTAGCATCCCAATGACCGAGTGTGAAACGGAGGTTGTAGAGAGAGAGAGAGAAAGAGGTATAGAAGGGTATATATATATATTTGCTATCTCTGTCTAGCAGTATGCGATTGGTTCTGCCCTAGACAGCTGCTTCTGTCGTTGATAGAGGGAGAGGACGGCAGACAATCGTGTGCTGCTAGAGAGAGATAGTATACACCCTTCTAACGAGCGTTCAAATAAAAACGTGGTTAAGTTGGTTCTGAAAATTTGGACGTAGGGCGTAGCGTATAGCAAATGAACTTAAACGTCATCTGTCAAAGCGCTGTATCGCCGTTTTGTTCATGTTTTGTTATTGAAACTGACAGCTGCTATACAGCTCGTTGAGAAATGAGGTTAAGTTGGTCGCTATAAGCTACGCACCACGTCCAATGTGTCAGAGCCAACTTCGACCACGTTTTATTTGAACGCTCGTTATATATATATATCTCTCTCTACAACCTCCGCTACACTCTCGGCCACTGGGACGCTGCCTCCAGTATATGTTCTTGAGAGTGTTGAGACGTATTCGATTTGGTTATATCCATAGACCACATAGCATACAAATGATGATGCATTCTAGATTGTTTTTAGGCTTGTGGGTGCAGATTTGCAAAAGGATAACCAACCCAAGAATTCTTATATCCAACCAACCAAATTCAACCAAACTAACCAAGTTGAAGGTTGAAGGAAGAGAACAAAAAAAAATGTCAAATTAATATTTTGAAGTTTACCGGCGTCGTCCAAAAATTTTAGCATATAAGTAAAAAATGAAGCAGTGTACATTTGTTTCTACGTTATTTTTAATACATTATGTTCAATCACTAGAAAGGGAAATAACTATAAACGTAGACCCAGGGAAAGAAGACTGTTTTTTTCAAAAGACCAAAGAAGGAGATGTTATAGACTTGGACTATCAAGTAATTGATGGTGGGCATGGAGACCTGGACATCACTTTTCATTTAGTTGATCCTACTGGTAGAATTTTGGTAGCTGATTACAAAAAATCCGAAAATACACACCGAGCTGATGCCTCAGTAACTGGAGATTACAAGTTCTGTTTTGATAACACTTTCAGCACCTATAATTCAAAGACAGTATTTTTCGAACTCATCGTAGAAGGCAATGATGATAATGAGTGGGGTTCAGAAGAAAACTTGGATTTTGAAGGTATTAACTTGGATCAAATATACGAGTTAAAAGTTCAGGATGTTCAAGAGATTGTGAATAGTGTAAGGAACCATTTAACAAAAGTGCGTCACTTGCAAGATTTGATTAAATCAACAGAGGCTAGAGATAGGAATATTGCCGAAGAAAATTACTTTAAAGTGAACACTTATTCCTTTCTACAGTTATTACTAATGATGGCAGTAGGTTTGATACAGGTTGTTATGGTGAAGAGTTTATTTGATGAACAATCAAAGGCACATAAAATATGGAAAAACTTAAATTTGAGATAGTCAATAATTATTTATATTTCATCAATAAATCAGGTACTTAAATCAGCGAGAACTAAATTTCAGTGGCTTCCTGATTTTGTTCAGAACATATTTTTGTGTCTGTGCTTTTTTGCATAGCATTTTTTAAGACGTACCAAAAATGTAATTCTTTTATTTTTAGTGCTCCTTTTTTTTGCAATTACTCTTTCTGTATATTGTTGTAAATTAAGCTGTATTTAATAAGGTATTAAACCTGTTGTTTGATTTAATTGAATGTATACAATAGAAATCGATTACAATAACTGACGGAAAAATCCTCACTATTTAGTTGCTTAATTTTATTTAAAAGGATATTTGCATTGATTTCTAATTCTAATATTAAATTAGAAAGAAACAAATAAATGCAGAATTTGATCATACATGAAACGATACTTTCAAACAAATGGGTTCAGGTGATTCGTTGTTATATCTATTATAATTTCTATCGAAAGATGTAATAGCTGGCATGTCACTCCAAGCTTATTTTATATTATGTAAATATGTATCTATATAGAATGTCCATAATTCAAGAAAAATAATGGGTGAAAATAATTCAATAATTTTTTTATTTTAAGATCTCACTTTTTAATGAAATTTGGCGTGGGGTAACCAAATATGAATATGAACTTTTTTTTACTTAATACATAGAGATTGCTAGGAGCAAAACATTTTGTTTTTTTGACATATTTTTTTTTGTAGATTTTGAGAAAATGCAAATATTTTTTGAAACCACTTTTTATTTTTTTTGCAAAAAGTATACCTGTCGCTAAAATACACTGTACCCCAGATAAATTCATTTCTTTTACTCCAGTTATCTGTTATGAACAGCCAATTATTTGAGAAAATTCTAAAACTATTAAACTTGACCGGCTCTTGCTGGAAGTAATTTTCAACTATTATTTGCTTTTCCCAAAATCTACCAATAAAAAAAAACTAGGTGTTTTAAGAAAAATATAAGCTCATATTCATATTCCGACTACACGAAACTCCCCCTCACTGTATTTAAATTTACTCCCCCCTCACTAATATTTAATTATCTTCAAAAAATCAAGTGACAACATTTTTTTTCAAGTCAACTATTTAAGGAAGAAAAATTGTATCTAGGTAACTTGATTTAAATCGCCCAAGGAAGCTACTCTTTTTTGGACACTGTATGGATTTACTTTAGATCTCTAAAAATTTATGTAATAATAGCAAGTGGTATTGTTATGCATCAGTGTCAGTTTTATAAATCGATGTTAAATTTGTATGCAAATGTGCCATTTAAATGTGATTGATCTAGTCTTATGACCTGGCGATTAGATTGACAGTTTGAAACTTGAATTTTTGGGCCATGTAATGACAATTTGTGATTAATTTCTAATGTTAGATAGTTAGTTCAACTTTACCAAAACTATAGAATATGTGTAAATTAAATTTTTGGACAAATATATCAAACTGAAACTGTATTTTGCAATAACTAAATTAAGTGAAAATTTTGTATCATATACAACTGTTATTATATTCTATTTTTAATAAAAGATTAATATGATCCATCTAGTGATTCTAGTGTAAAAATTATTCTAATGTCGATAATATCGGGAAAATGTTTAAAGATGGTTATTGTATTTCCTTTGATTTTCAAATTTCAATATTTTATTGGATACACAAAATGGTCATCGACCGAAGTCCTACAGCCAATCAAATTTAATTTTTAAAGAATTCAGTAAATATTTTTAGATTTCTTCAGATATTTTCTGTGAGCAACAAGCTTAACCTTCGTTTCTCTCAAAAAATACATCCTATCGACTCAACTAGTATACTATCTTTGTTCTAATAAGCCTTTGTGGTTTGTAAAGCCGTTAGGATGTTTAAAAAATTTTGCCTATTAAGATATTTTTCCTTTATGGAAATTAATTAAAAAAAACAAAAAAAAATTACGTGAGATATCTTGCCCACCAGTTTAGAAAAAGTAATTCTTAAATAAATAAATGTCAACGAATTCCAATTTTGTGTACCTGAGTTATTTTTAACTGCTTCACCATAAATTACAACGATATCTATCAACTCCGAGTTGCTATATACAGGTAAGCCAATTTTGACACTTGAAAAACTAATACGCCATTATTCTATGGCTAGAAATTGGCCTCAATGATTTGGGATCGAGGGGGATTATTCCTCTTTATCCTGCCTCATCTCGTGTAGGCCTGGACAGCCTTCGTAGGTGGGCCCCATCCGTCGTCTACCCCGACCGCAAATGCGGCCGGTGTAGGCGCTTTGTGGGACCTCCTTTTGTCCTGGCTGGGCCCCGCCGGCTAGGGCCCTTTCTTCTGGCGCTCTTCTTGCTTCGCCGGCTCGTCTGTGTAAACCCCGGGGGTAGTGTCATGTTTATGTGTGGTATGGTTGGGTAGGGTAGTGCGGCTATGCAGCCTGGGATGCGCTTTGCTAAGGTGGCCCTTAGGCTAGCGCGGGAGGGGAGGG